TAACGAATGGCGCTGACGCGTTTTTCTCTCGTCTTCTTCCTCAAGCGCTATTAACCCCGGCTCATGCATAAACGATATCGAGGTTTTACTCGCTGCCGAAAACGCTCGCCATAGTATCATTAATAATTCGTATACAGCATCGCGTGATAAGAGAGAAGCAAAGAAAAACTGATTTTTTAATAAAAAAATTTGAAATAAGACGTTAGTTGAATGGCAAGATTTCCGGGGGGGGTGAAAGCAAAATTCATTACCTTTTGTTTTTTGGTGGAGATTTGAATTGCATTGGGAATTATCAACGCGGTCATTCTCTTGTCGATTGAAACTATGTCTGCGAAGTTGATTACAACCTATGTGATGAAATTTTACGGTTTAGTCGAATGAATTTTCTTTTCAAAATATACAAATAATCGCTTACGTCAGTAGTCCAACCAAAAATATTTGCATGAAAACAAACGTGTTGCAATGAAATATACATTCTCCCTTGTGCCAGGATTTCACGCTGCAGTGCGCAACCATAATCTAAACGAATAAGGTGGTGAATAAAATCCGGTATTTAACAATCAACGAGACGAGAAATAGTAAAATTACCATTAATAAGATATTCATTCCCAGGAATGCTAAACAATGAATGAAATTCTTTATTTCTTTTTGAACTCGCCATCACATACGAAGATAACATTGGAATTCCGTCCGTCATGATTGATAATGACGATAAATTTTGATTTCGTTGTTTGCGTCTACGCGCTAATTTGCCATCTTTCGAGATTGACGAGAATCGACTTGAAGTCGTTGATTTTGGAGCTGTAGATGAGGACCCTATAGTACCATAGTTGTTGGAAGATGACGTTGCTGGCGAATTAGATTGTAAACTGCTGCTGTTGGAAAGGACATTCTCAGAAGGGTCTGCCACAACTTCATTTTCGAGATTCTCAATTTTCAATGAAGAAATTGAAGAGTTTGAATTTCTTTTCGAGACTGAAACTTTAGGTGATGAATTTGTCGAACTCGGAGTAACGTTTGACGTCGAATTAGGATTAAGGTTTGACGTCACGTTGGAGAGACGTCGATTTTTAATCGGTGAAATACGCGAAATCAAGCTATTTCTCTTATTCAGTTTCGCCATGTGAGTTGTCCAATCAAAAGCTGATACAGAAGAACCATCTTCTGGTGTATTATTATTATTATTATTATTCGGTGATGCAAAAGAATGACTATCAATGTTTTCTTGACTATTCTTACGTCTAGCTGATTTCGATCCCATTATTGCAGTTGCTGCCGCCACAGTAGCTTCAATTGTATTGTTATTGTTGTCGATATTATTGTTATGATTATTATTGTTATTATTTGATGTGGGGGGAGTAGATGAATTTGAATTCGCAGAAGGTGAACACGTTTTATCTGAAGCGGGTGATGGACGAATATTACTATTATTTTCGACTTCGTCGTTTTCTGCGTTATCAACCTCATGATTTTGTGGCATAATAGCAAGATTAAATACCGGTGATGATGTCCTATTCCAAGAGTTTTTCATTTCGGTTTCATGTTGGCCAAGCTTGAGTTCAACATCCTCAGAAATATTATTGGTGTTGTCCGTTTGTGGATGATGAAGTGGCGATTGTAACGCTGGTGGGCTTGGCGGCGGTGTAACCGCACCGTCAAAATGATTTTGTCGCTCTTTTAGTTGTGTGTTGATTGAAAATGGTAGTTCGACGGATTTTTTGAGACGGATTTGATTAGATTCTTCAGAATCAGAAGGTGGCGTTGTTGGAGGAGAAAGCATTTTTTTCATCTTATGGTTGTTTGTCAATGGTTGGTCACCACTAGCAGTATTCGGTGGTTTCTGTGAAAGCTTATTTCGTATACAAAATTTGGTTTTTGAATGATGGTGTTCCGACATTGCTAAAATGATTATAAATACGATGGTTTTAGGAATATTTATCGTTATAAAGTTCTTGTGTCAAAAAAGTATCACGATAATTATCGTCCTCATCAATGAAAGTTGTTCTTTACCGATTTTGTACTTTACTGTCGTCTCTTTTTAATTTCTTGGCTATGGATTCGGATAATCCGATTTATAAAAAGTGTTGATGATTTATGCTATCAGTAAACAGATAATAGTGATGAATAGTGTATAAGATGAAGTATAAGGAAGAAGTATCGCATCTGCCTCTATTTATCGTTTAGGAAAAGTTATTCTAAAAAAAATGCTTTATGGTTTATTTGAGCAGGTTGATTATATGAAAATGTCTCAAGAGGAAAGTGAGTTAAATATAATGCTGTATACATGTATATATACTAATATATGTACATGTACAGTAAATGTAATATTACTCCTATTATTAGTAATGATGATGACGATTATTATGAAGTTTTATTGTTGTTTGGTTTGGTAAATAATATGGTCATAGCGATAGGAAATAACAATAACGATAATAATTTTTGATTTCTAACTCGAGAAATTTCAATTAATTTAATCGTTCATACTTACTGTGCGTATTTTAATCAATTCGGCAAAACTCTAGCCCGCAACGTCGATGCCCATCTCTTTATTTATTTTCGTTAATTGATGTTAATGTTGATTGGGCACTATTATCATCAGGTGTCGTCATTCGATAGATAATAATGGGATTTTGGCTACCTAGGTTGTACACACGGAATAGGGATAACCGGAGAATCTTTATAGAAGCAGGGGCCGAAATTCGCCCAGCGCATATTTTTTTCAATTATCATTGTTTTCCCGTTTTTAGGTTTGATGTGTGTACCATATATGAATGCATGAAGTCGTGGAATTGAGAACTTTAATTTGTTTGTGCTTAACGTTAAGATTATTACGTTCTTCACCCTTTTCTGATGATACAAAGTGACCCATTCTATTTTGGATAGTAAATTTTTCCTTTGACGAGAGAATGACATTTCTCAGAAAATTCGCGTTTTCGCTTTCGATGAGAATTTCTACCCGCACATGTATGTATCGAACAGGTATTATTTTTTTTCCCGTGTGTCATACACGCGTAGACAATGGGTGTTTATTTGTGTGCGCTATGTTTAGATCCAGATTTTTTGAAGCCTCCCGTTCGTTGCACCACATTATTTATTTTTTGTGAAAGGTTTAGTTACACAGCACTTTAAAACGTGCCCCTTGTAATGGCAACTCAAGATACAAATTTTCAAAAATCATTTCCTTGCTTTATTGTGATCATCACGAATCGTGTTACAACATGCAGAAGCGCCACATTCAACGAAGAAAATTTGACCAAGAAATCATCGTCAAACAAAAAAAAGATCCAATTCTAGTACTATCTTATTTCTGGCAGCGCATACTCAAATTAGTTCGGAAAATTGATGCAACTGTGGCTCAATACGATAATCGTTCTCGGAAAATAATTTTGGATCAAAATAGTTTTATGGGGGACAACAACGATCTTTGACATAATCAAGATGTAGTGGGTAATGAAGATAATATATAGACTGCATAAACGATAATGTTAAATTCCAAGATATTCTCATCAATTCATAGAAATATACGGGGTTTTAAAATCCCACGGACCGACAGTAATAACGAGTGTGAACTTTCGTCCCAAAGGAACAAGTATCTGCTGACTTTATATAATCACATGCGCAAAAGACAAGGTGTGCTATAATACTAAGCTAATTATGGGTTTTTAACATCAAGCAAATAAAACAGGATGAAAGATCAATCATAGAAGGATTGTCAATTTGAGTTTGCTGTCAGTAAACTATCGAGTGATGGCGAATCATATAATATTTGTAATTGTAATTAGGTACGCTGATATATATATCACCTCATACTTACTTGTATATTTTATGTATTTGCAATATGAGGTAATATATGTCACTGCCGTTAAATTTATCAAACACGTCATTCATTTTTCGTTTAATGGGTCAAAATATTCTCCATTTGTTTGGACGAAAATTCATTGAGGGATTTATTTGATGGTTGACTACCATTTTCATTTGATTATAAATCATTAATACTATTAAAAAATTTTTTTTTGTTTAAAATACATGTACAGTAAGTAGTATTGCCAACGCTCAATTTTACAAAATCACATGTTCAATTTGGCATCGGTGATAAAATAGAGCTTTGACCGTATACGTACGCGAAATATTAAAAGCAGAGTACACGTCTAACATGTCTGTGTAAAAATGAACTATATGTATATGTTGTTACTTAGTAGGATCGTTTCAAGTGAATCCTTTAATCATCATATTCCATTTCATCATCGTTTCCTCATTAACACCAACAATGACCACACACATTAGTCAGTAATAGTAACGAAATTCCACATGCTACAATTTCGACTTTCCAGAATCATCTGCAACCCAGCTTATAAAACTCATGACTTCAAAATTTTGTGAACACGTTCTTTATTAATGACGCGTACGTTGATACGACATACCATCAATCAAAACATGTGTTGTACGGGATTTTGTAGTCATGTGTTACAGTACTAACCAATGTGTGGTCATTGTTGATGTTAATGAGGAGATAAAATAAAGACGATAGGGAATGATGAGAAAAATAAAGATGATTAAGGGGATGAATTGTATAATGAGGACAATTCATTATTAGAATAATTTTTTATATAGCGATAGGTTTTTCTTTTAATTATAATGATTATGTAAATTTGTTAAACAAAATCCTCTTTTATTAAAGTAATCGTTGAAATATTTTTGTGAAAGATACATTTTCAATAATAATATAAGAAGACTAATAAAACGCTCATCTAGTTAGTCGTAGCTATAAAGAAATAAAAGAATCGTAAAATTTATTGAATTAACGATCAACTAATTCCTGTAAATTAGCCGACAAATATTGGGAAAACATGTTTCTACAACTCATATAACTTGCTTACAAGATTCAATTCAAAAGTCAGAACATCTAGTTATGAGTCTTCTTCCTTGTCTCTTTAACTTGATGATCGAACATAAAATGAATGAGCGATATTTATTAGTAAAAGGAAATTATTACTAAAATAATTCTTCTGAATAATTCTTCTGAATAATTCTTCCGTGTTGTCTACTTCCTCGCCTTCAACTTCGTGACTCTCTTACTAACTGGTTCCTTACACCAATTCTTACGCTAAATAAAAAGCATATAAAATCATAGCGGACGATTTTTAAAGGCATAGCGAATTAATGTTCTTTGCTTCCTATTTAGCTTTTCCCTTAACAAAACTTCTTCGTAAAGAAATTTCTTTCTAGTTGAATTCAGATTTGATATTTTTTAATTTCATTTTTTAGTCGTAGTCAAACAACTTCTTTATACATGTACATGTATCATATATGCCATTAAAAGGTTTGACTCTTGTGTTACATTTAATTTCTAATTCCTGGTATGAGTTATGTAAGCATTGGGTTAGTTTTGCCAGCATTATTAGCATCCGAGTTATGTTTACGTGGATTTACAAATTTTTGGCTGTACGTGAGATGGGGAGAGGAATTAGATGTTATTATGCGGTTAACGTCAAGTACCTGTGCCGATATAGTTTGTTATGTGCGGTAACGGTCGCGGGATTTGGGGAATTATAAAGAATTATGGGATGTGGTAGGTGGATTTTGGGCGTGAAAATTATAGAATTATGGTCTTAATCAAATTCAGACAAATACTAATATGACGCTTTTTTTGTATCAAAGGATCTAACCATCAACAATTAATTATACGAGGTGTTTCTATAATTTTTTTGTACGCGAATTCTCCTTTATTGGAGCTCTTTAACCTATCTATATATGCATTTTTGGGATTATATCGTAGAGGGGATTTCGCACAAGATCGAAGACATTATCATGATAGAGGGAAGATAGAGAATGATGGAGTTTACATACAATCGAGAGCATTGTGATAGAAGAAAAAAATGGCGAAAATAGGATGCATACAATCAAGGACATCGATCGGGAATTTACGTGTCGTCCTTAATATGGCAAAGCATTAAAATTAATAAGGCGAAAATTCATCTCAATAAACACTAAATGAGCCTCGTTAATCGAGTTTTCAATCTTTTACTAAATAGTCACCAGTACATTATTTGAGGTTTGACTTGTTAGAATATGGGACATTTATCGATCAATGAATCCACAAGTAAGACTTAAATCTTTGATACCAAATACCATGTATACAAATATTAACTTACCTCTTTAAGTTCGCTGTCCTAGAATTTAAATTAAAATTGCAGCTACAGGTAAACACCTTGTTCAGGACTGGAGACTTGTCCATGTCGATGATCTGCATGAATTTAAAGTACACTCACTGGACAAAAGTTTGGAATCGGGAAATGATCAGCAATGTAGGTCACGAATATTGATACGACTTTTAAT